GATGACGCCGGCACTTCGCATGCCGATGGAGCCGGCACTTCGCATGCCGATGACGCCGGCACTTCGCATGCCGATGACGCCGGCACTTCGCATGCCGATGACGCCGGCACTTCGCATGCCGATGACGCCGGCACTTCGCATGCCGATGACGCCGGCACTTCGCATGCCGATGACGCCGGCACTTCGCATGCCGATGACGCCGGCACTTCGCATGCCGATGACGCCGGCACTTCGCATGCCGATGACGCCGGCACTTCGCATGCCGATGACGCCGGCACTTCGCATGCCGATGGAGCCGGCACTTCACAGCTTCATACACAGCCGGATACTCAGATAGTTGAGGCTCATCAGTAGGAACCCAGGGGGCGGGGAAGAGCGAGGGGGAGGGGGAAGAGAGGGAGAGGAAGGAGGGGAGCTATATTGGGTTGTATATGAACTTATTTTGATAAATTTTGTAACTTTCCTGAATTTTCAAATACTGAACTTTTGAAGATAAATTGTTGTTCATATACATAATCGTGTATATATTGTTGTTTGCAAATAAATTGGCATATATATGAGTTATAATTCATTGTTGAATCATGTATATATTGTTGTTTGCAAATAAATTGACATATATATGATTTACAGGTAAATATACAAAACCTGCACAGCAGCTGTGCATGCTGGGTGACCTGCAACTTCACGGGATTTCAAGTCCCGTGAAGTTGCAGTGCCAAATTTCCAGAGACTCGATCTCTGGCAAATTGTGGACTGCAACTTCACGGAAGTTGAACTCCCGTGAAGCTGCAGTCATAATTTTCAGAGATCGATTCTCTGGATTTGTTGACTGCAACTCCACGGGAGTTGAACTCCCGTGGAGTTTTAAGCACAAATTAAGCTTCACGGGAGTTCAACTCCCGTGAAGTTTAATTTCTCCATAAACTTCACGGGAGTTGAACTCCCGTGATGTTTCGGAGATTTTTTTATAAAAACCGACCTGTTTTCAGCGCTGGGCTGAAAACAGGTCGGTTTTTGCAATTATTATGAAAAGAGGTCGGTTTTTGCAATTAAATGTCTAAAAGGGTTGGTTTTAAAAATTTGTCCAAAAAGAACGGGGTCTGCTTTCTTAACATCCGTACCCAATAATCCCTATCCATTCCCGAATCCAAACCCAAATCTTTTCTCCAAACCCTAACCAAAACCCTAATTTTTTTCCTTCCCTCTCTCCTAATTTTGTGGAGCTCGAATCCATGGCGTCCTGCGGCGGCAGAGGAGGAGGTGGTGGAGGAGCGTGCCAGTCCAACTGCTCAAGATCAGAGGACGACGATGCTGCTAACCAAATTCAAATCGAAGAAACCCTACCAAATCTCTCGATCAACGGCGGCGGCGGCGGCGGTCGGCTCTGCTCGAAGTGCGGAGAGATGGAGCAGGATTACAACGGAATGTGCACTGCTTGTTTTCGATCGTTTCTCTTCGGAAAGTTCAAGCTTGCTGTTACAACCAACGCCATGATCTCGCCGACCGATAATGTTCTTGTCGCCTTTTCCGGTGGTCCTGCATCCAGGTTCTCTTTATTTTTTTATTTACAATTTTGATAATTTTTTTTTAAAAATTTTGGTGAACCCCTTGCTTATTTTTGTGATACACGCAACAAAAACCAAGCTTTTACCCCAGGATTTTGCAGACTGCGGGATGTAAGTTGTAACAACACTTGATTTATTTTGTAACTTTGTGTAATATGTGGCTGCATGAATGTTGTTGAAAATCAACTAAATGTATAATAATGTGGAGATTATCTTCTTGATACCTTCAATGTGGCTGTGGGATAAGATTCCTCGAACAAAACTGGCTTGCTTTGGTTGATTGAAATTTTAAGTTGATCCTGTTGGGTTTGAGCTAGGCTCCAGAATCCAGCATTAAATTGAGTTTATATCTGTACTAGATCAAAACAAACATGTTAGCTGGCAATATTGTTGATATATACACTTCAATATTTTAGATATTTATGACACGTTAGATAATTGAACATTTGATGGAACTTCCTCAGAGCAATCTAACGACACATGGAGTATTGAGAATCATGATGATATCATTGCCTAGCGCAGCTTTTGTTCTTAAGATTTTCAAGTTTGGATTAGACGTAGTAAAATACGAAATTTGTTTTAGTGACTTTTTGACGAATTTAATGGCTTACATACATATTTGTATACACTTCTAAGAAAAGTGTGCTCTTATGTGGAACTTTGGTCGTTTCTCATTGCAAACTCTGAAGGACACCCGCCCAAACACTTGACTTGATATCTGTAACCAACTGTTAAATTCAATATATACATGTATGTACATAATATGTAGTTAAAGGCGAGTCTCCTGGGGTGCCTGTAGTCTGAAAGCGTTAAATAGTACATGAAGATATAGCAGTGATTTAAAGGTGAGTTATTTGGCCATCTCAAGCACCTAAATGTGATATTTTCTGTGTCAGGTGCTTGGCTATGTAGCTAGGCAACACATGTCATCAAGGTGCTTCTCTGAGGTGCTCGAGGCACAATGGCAAGAACCTCTAGCAACAAGGACGGGGCGCTAAGGCACTTGCTTGAGTTACCTTTTAGGAATATTTGTTCAATATTCATCTTTTTTGTTAAGCTTCTAGTATTGTGGTTTGCTTGCAATAAAAGGAGGCTAATGGCCTGTTTGGGAACTCCTTCGAATAGGACTAGTTTTGGCCCTAGTCTCATTTTGACCGGAATTGTGTTTGGGGAAAATTAAGGTTATAGATTGCGCTAGGCGACCTAGGCGCTAGACCTGACGCCTAGAGCCTAGATGTCTAGGCGGAAGCTTAGGTGGCGCCTAGGCGTTTTCCTATTTTTTACTTTTTAATTACAATTCTGATAGTCAATGCCAATGTTATGAACTTAGGCGCTGGATTGACACTTAGGTAGATTTCTTAAGTGGTGGTGGAGGAGGTTTGCTGAACGTGAGATGTAGAGGTATTCATAGTTGGAGGAGGTTGAAGGACGTAGAGACTACAATGAAGAAAATTATGATCAATGCTTAAAGGTGCAGTCCATGTAAGCAAACCACCTAGGCACTTTCAGAACCTAGGTGGCCAGTTTAGGTACCGTCTAGACGCTAGGTAGACGGTCAAGGTACCGTCTAGGCGTTAGATGCTAGATAGGTGGCCAATGTACCGTCTAGGCCTAGGCTTATGCTTAGGCATGCTAGGCGGAAGCTTTTTAAAACATTGGAAAAAACTGAGGCAATCTGAGCCCTATCTTTTGTAGGCCAAATTGTGGCCCTTAAAGGAGTTCTTTCGTCGACGTTTTGGGGGGGGTGGTGGTGGTTTACAAAAGAACCAATTTATAACAAAACTGGGCCTAAAGCAAGTTACATATGGAAGTTAATGATAGATTTTTGGGAATGAACGCTATCCTATTTTCATCTTTTCACTATTTCCTTTTTTGGTCTTGTTTTAACCCTATTATCTTTGATTGCATTTGATCCCACGCTATGTTGTATGAATATGTGTATGGGTATGGGACATGAAAATTTTGTAAAAGATAAGGTATAGGGACATGGCTGAACCTGATGGGCTGTAAGCTTTCTTTTGAGCTAGATGTGCAAAGGACCCTTTGAAATTATACTCCTTAAGGCTGAAATAAACTCGACCCCTGTCTAACAAGTTCCAAAAGATGGATATGAAGGGTAGGACATATGTTTGAGATGTGTCTAATGAGTGTTTTAATTAAAAGATATAGTGCATAATTGAGTACACGTCTAAATCGAAACAAATGTATGCATATATTTAAGGTCCATGAAGTGTCAGATACAAGTACGGGTAGACATGTGTTAGGTATGAATACGGGTACAACGTCATGGTAGAAGCACCTAGTTAACATAGATTCTACGTTAAATATTAGATTCTACATTAATATTTTCTTCTAGATTTAATGTTACTTGATTACTAAGTTCATTTTCACAATTCTATAAATGATTGAGTCCATCTGTGTATATAACGTCCTACTTCATTTCTTGAAAAATAACATTCTACTGAATACAATAGTATTGTAGTATTAGAATTTATCGTAGATATGAATCCTATTCCTTAATGGATATCTTCTAGATGGAATCTTAGATATCCAAAATCATAATTCTATAAACCATACGTGTGTGTATTACTATGTTTTGCTTTTTTGGGCTTAGTTATATGACTCATATCTTTCTCTATATCTTTTTTATATAAGTCAATTTTGTCATTTTTAGGCATGCTTATTATTGCTAATGGAAAAACAACGCATGAAATTAATACATTTCAATTTAGTTTTTAGTGGCAATTTGTCATACTTGAAGAGAGAAATTGGCTATAACGTAACTTAAAGCCTAAACCTAAAATTTCAATAATTTATTGGATTCCCTAAGTGGATGCCAGATTTCTTAATGATTTGGATTCAAAGTAGATCCTACAAAGGTTTCGCTAAGTCTATTTGGGGCTCTTGCGATAAAATAACGGTAAAAAGCACAAAGTCAAATAGTGGTTTACTTTAAATATGTATAAATATTCAAAAAAGAAAAATCTAGAAAATCTAAAAGTGCATATTTGATGATTTAAAGAGATCCTAAACATAAAATACACATGTAACCATCACATTATACCGAGAACGACTGGAGGAGTCAAAGAGTCATTGTCTTCGAGAAGAGGAGAGGAGTTGAGCGGTGAGAGGAATGCAATAGGAGGAGCTCACGCGAGATGTGTAATGAAGTGTTGAGGGAGGTGCCAGAGGCTGTTGGAGGCAGTGGGATGCAGTGGAATATGCCGAAAATCACGGGAGGCAGTGAGATGTAGTGGTTGCTCGTCAAGCTTAATTTAAAAAAAAAAAAAACCTCAAACCGCTTTTAAGTAGCAGTCAGAAGGCAGATTTTGCTCGCAATCACCAACTATTCACAGCTGTTGCATGCTATTGGCTGCTTTTGCTAGCGGAAAACACATTTTGTAATATATCATCGTTATTGGGAAGGGACCGCTAATGCTATTAGCGCCGCTATTTACCGCTATTTATATCTGTGCTACAAACTTATAATGGATAGTTAATCATATAAGTTTGAACCCAAACCAAGCATGATTTCATTCTTAGAGATAAAGATTCATATACTATAGAAGGAGAGCAAGCAGGAGAACCACATGCATGTGATAATTTATCCTAGCTGTTATCTAATGTAGAAGTTATTTGTTAAACATGCATGATTAACAAGTGAGCAGTGTGTTGATTGAAACAAACAACCCCTGATGTCTTCCTTCTTTTTGCACCATGCAGTTTTTACTTTTCTTTTAAATTCCCCAATTTAAGCTGGAAGTAGTATGCATGCTTACCTTATGCATGTGTACTATACACCCTCGTTACTGTGCATATTCAACTTGTCTGTCCATGTATAGAGAAGTTTTATATATAGACGAACAAGAAAAATGGATTGTCAGTAGTAGTACCAAGAGGACTAGATATTTCTGCACAGTGTGACTAATGGTCCCCCCCACCCAAAAAAAAAAAAAAAAAAGAAAAGAAAAGGAAAAAAAAAGAAAGGAAAAAGAACACTCAAACAGAAATCATCTTTTCCCAATGAGTATTCAATGCTTTTTTATGTCTTTGTACACCCATGTTTCTGGGGTTGTGCTACTCTTTAGTCTATTCGTATCTAGAGAATATTCTTCAGCAATGTAGATTAGCGACACTAACGGGAGTCGATGCAAGATGCTAGGATATGCGCAGTTTAATTTGTAGTTGTTAATGGTGTACTACTTTTAAGTGGATACAGATAGGATCCTTTGTGTGTATCCACACACACACACACACACACTTGTCTTTACCCAGTAAGAAGAAATATCTAGATTATTTATTCTTAGGCATTTTACTTGTATTTCATGATAGACTATTTGATTTTTCAGGTTAGCTGGCCTAAGATGTTTGCTATATTTGTAGGATGGTAATCACTAAGCAGTAAGACCCTATTGTCTACCAAAAACAAATATCGGGTAGACCATGTTTTTGTGCATGCATGAAACACTCTCTTCTTTGGAATGTGATCCCATCTACTTGCAACAGCGATCCCAGGCACGGTCGAACGTACTTCTACTCTTTCAGAATAGACTTCTGATTGGAAAAAAGGGTCTCATTTCCCAAATTTATTTATCTACATCCTTTGATTTCTTTTGTCGTTTTGAAAGACTAACATAGTTACATGATTATGCATATACCTCTCTGGGGTCTCATTTAAATCATATTTAGGTGTATAAATTGGCCTTTGTTTTATAGAAGTTTTCACTGTCACTATTATTGTTAGATTTTTCTTAAGCGATTTTTTTGTCCTGTTTCAATGGCAACTTCTTGTAATGTTTTATTAGAACTTCACAATGGTATTTTTCTGCATCCATTATAACTATTAAGTTAATTCAATGGTTTCTTTTTTACTAGAGTGGCTTTACAATTTATTCATGAGATGCAATGCAAAGCACTAAAGAGCTGGGATGCTAGTAAATCCCAGGCTTTACCAGTATTTGGTGTCGGTGTTGCTTTCATTGATGAAAGTGCGGTTTCATCCAATCCGTCTCGTGAAGTTGACCAAGCACTTAAAGAAATCAGATTGATTGTATCAGATTTAGGTTCTCCTCATAAAGAACTACATATTACTCCTATTGAAAGCATTTATTCTCTGGACTGCATTGAAGGAAGAAACAGGCTGAAAGAGTTACTACTTACCATTAGCGATGTCACTGGTAAAGAAGATTTTCTGCAGCATTTACGCATATCTTCTTTGCAGAAGGTCGTCACTACTGCATATTGCCATTCTTTGTAAATGTTTGATGAAGGCATCAGGAAACGTTTCTTACATTTTGAAGATTCTTATCCTCAGATTGCTTTGGAGAATAATTACAACAAACTCGTGCTTGGCTCATGTACCTCCAGAATAGCACGCCATATACTTTCTTCAACCGTAAAGGTTTGTGAATGTTAGCATCATGTTTATATACAACATAGGCGATGTTTGATTTTTATCTCCCGATCAGGGGGTATAATATTACTTAGACTATAATACTAGGATTGTGTTATTCTGGGACTATTTTAGTCTATTCCAATGTTTGTTTTTACACAGACTAACATCCAGACTAACTTAAAATAATTCTACCTAGTGTTTGCTTTTAGAGGATTATAACTGTTCGAACTAATGTCATAACCAAAATGTCTTTCTTGCAATCAAGTCAACTATTGTTGTATTAATAGCATCTGTTTGATAAAAAATAAATATAAAAAACTGGACATGAACTTGTCTGAAAAATAGACATACCAGCCTAACTTATCATGATATAATAAATAGCCGTATTCATTTGAAAACAAAGTTGTAAAAAACTAAAACATTTAATTAAACTTGAAATTAGACGTCCGCACCTAATTAAGGCTCTTGTCAATTTCAACCATTTAGCTAAAGAAGAATTCATATTTTTTAATGCAAAATCACATCTGTTTTCAATTTACTTGATACTGTAATGTATTATAATTAACATAAGAATGTCAATGTAGCATATTTAACCTGGGGGAAAAAGAATGCAAATATAGCATATGCTAGGGCATCAAGAAATCACTGCATAAATTGTTGATTATATGTGTGATTTGAGAATGTTTCATTTCTTCATCGATTTGATCATAACAATTTGGAAAAGAAAATGCTGCATAATGAAAGCTAGTTGGAGTTATCTGTCGTTAAGATCATCATATGCTTAAAAGAGACGCGGTGACCAAGTCAAGCTACAATTTCACATTCACAACTTTGAACAATAAGAAAGCCACTGAGATCAATCTTGTGGATAGAATGCCGTGGAGGAAAAAAAGGTGTGGAAACAATGTTGCGCAAATAAAAATAGTAGAATTAAACAATATAATACCCGTACTATAAAGATGGGGTTGGGGTGGATTTATTTAAGTCCCCTCTTTTGGTCTTAACTAATCCCTCAAGAATAGTGCGGACTAGATAAAAAAACAAACATGGGCTAAAAGGGTGGGTCCGGACTACTTTGAAATAATACCCTCGCTATCCCAAAAAAAGGCTAAAAAGATAATTTGATGTCTCATCTTTAAATTTTTTGTATTTTATTTGTTTTAGAAATTTATGTAGATTGTAAGTTTCACAGCATTCAGACATCCTGTTTTCTTCTTTTTTAATTTTTATATCAGGGCCAAGGTTATTCTTTACCGGCTGATTTACAATATGTTGATTCAAGGTGGGAGGTTCCCATTGTTCTTCCTCTTCGTGACTGTGTTGCTCAAGAGCTTAGGATGCTTTGTTTTCTTGATAGGTCAGACATCTTTTTCTGTGAGTTCTTTGAACATTTGGTTTTGAGATGGCTTACTCTAATTGACTATATAGTTTGAAGACACAGCAGTTGCTTGATAGGCCAAGTTCTGGCATCAATGATTTGGTTTCATTATTCGTTGCACGCTTGCAGGTAGTATGAGTACCTTCTTTACTTTACCTAATATCGTAATGGGTTCATTGCGCATAGACCGTAATGGGTTCATTGCGCATAGACCCACCACCCCTTTTAGTATCGTTGTTTTGAACTTACTATCCTTATAGTTTCTTTGTTGTAGATAGACCCCCTTGGTAATTTTTATATTATTCTTTTATCCGGAGTGAAATTTGGGCAGATATTTCCCCTGGTAAGCTTAGTGTCTCTCTCTGAGGGTAAAAGAGTCAAAAAAACATTTAGCCTACAGGAATCAATCTGCAAAAATGAAGGTACAAGGGTTGTAAGTTCAAAATGATGGTACTATAGTATAGGGTGTCTGTGCAGTTAACCATATGATAATTGGTAACTCGCAGGATGATAATCCATCTCGAGAGCGAACCATAGTAAGAACAGCAGAAAAGTTGAAGCCATTTTGTTTCAATAAATTTGTTGAACATGGCTATCACGATTTCCTGCCATCTCGATTGCGGCCCAAGTTTCAAAATGTCGAAGATACTGAATCTAATCCCTCTGAGCATCTCTGTCCAATATGGTGAAGAGTGATCATAAGAAGTCTCTATCAAGAACAGAAATATTTGTTTCAAGTTGTTGTCAAAGCTGCTGCTTTCAGATCCTTCCAAAGGAGAGCAACTCCCTTGAGCATTTCTATTCGCTTCTGCCTGGATCTATGACGAACAGAGTTAAGGATAGCACACATGCTGATAATAGTTGCTTAAGGTGAGAGCCCTCTGACTTGCATATTTTGTTCAAAATACTCTTTAGTATTGTATAGTTCATTGTCCTAATAACGTCTCTCACATTTGATCGGTTTACGCGAGTCAATTAGACTATTTCTTGTAGCTTGAGATGGTTGATAACAAAAATTGTTTAAAGAAGAATGTAACTTGGGATTCCTAGGATGTTTTGGTGGCCAATAAAGCTAAGCATGGGGAGTCATTGCTGGGCTTCTCCAGAAGGCAATGCATGTTCACATTTTTATTTCACATGCATATTTCAACTATTTTCAATAATGATTTTTTTTCACATAAAACATCAATTGATAATTATGTTTGAATGAGAAAAGAAACTTTTCCAAATTCCTTTAATATTCCTTTACCAATCGTAAGCCAACCTTTTTTTTTAATTTTTAAAGAATGAATGTTTAATTGTCATCCCAGTTCGACTTTGTCAATATATGTATGCCTTATGGTTCTACGATTCGATAACAAAGCATCAGAATAGATAACGACTGGATTGATTTTCTTATCTTGTTTTACGCTGTCCGACTGTATAACTGTCATCTATGTTTGAGGCTCCCAATCAGTCGCCTCAAGCATTGCATGCTACAGCCACACCGCTAATTTCATGTTCTCCTTGTGGCATATAGCAGTGTATATATGCATGTGATTAGGTTGGCATTAGAACAACGATTAGCCATTAAGGATTTCCTACTTCAGCCTCCTAAAAGGAAAGTATAGTCAAGTCCATCTATTTGATTTGAGCTCTTAATTATCATGTTTAGGGAGCAAATAAAGGATTGCTTGCTTTCTGATGATGATGATGGGAGCTGAACCACCATTTCCGATGGAAGCTCTCTTTTTGTCTCATCGGCATCTCTCTCGTGTGTTCGTGTTTGTTTGTCTCGTTGAGATGATAATTCCCTCATCTATCAGTTGACTGGATCTAAGATGGAATTGTTGAGACACTAATGATTATAGCGAAGCTCCTTTTTTTTTTTTCGTTTGGCAGGATACATAACCAGGAAGAATTAATTTAACTACTTTTGTCTGCTCCATTATAATTCAAGTTCCTATGTTACTACTCGCTTCTTGTAATTTTTTTTTCCTGATGCAAGGAAATGTCTATTTTGTATAATGGATTGCATCATCGTTTTCGGAAATGTTTATTTTTCATCTAGCAAATTAACTTGATTATTAGAGTACGTAGTTTGTGTTTACTGTTTGAATACGTCATATGCTGAGGTATATCTTGCTGTTATTTTCTTTGGCTATTTGTTCATTTATACAACCATCCGAGGAGTTGGATTATGATTTGTTAAAGTGTTAATTTTTGGAGCATCGCTTCTGAAAGAATCAAGTAGCTTGGAGATGGGCTCACCTGAAATAAGGTAAAAAATTAAGCATTTTTACTTAGGAATTAGCCCAGACTTTCTAGTTCAGAAGATGAATTTGTTTTATCTTTCAAGATCTCTTCGTTTTTAAAGCCACAGCGCGAAAGCATTTCTATGGCAGTTATATTATGTTAATTTCCTATGCAGGGCTGTTTTGTTCGCGTAAATCACCAAAGAAAGCCTTTTACCCCCTTTGTGACAAAGCTTCCACCTAGGCAAAAATGATTCCTGGGGTTTTTTTTTCCGTTTCGGTTCGCCTCCTCTCGTAGGGCTAGAAACAACGGGAAATCCCTCCACCTAAGCCTCTCGTTTCTCCCCTTTCCATCCAAAATGAGAGGAAATGAGTGATAAACTCTCATTTAGTTGTATTTTTGCCAGATCTATAAGGAAATTGGGGAAACTCTGTGATGACTAGAGTTACTGCCACTTTCCCTCTCCTTTTCTTTCTTTGTGCCTTGGTTCTTTGATGAATGCGATTTTTCCCGCTTCAAGCTATCTCGGATCTTTGTTGGACTACTGATTTCTTCCCGTCTTTTTTTTTTTGCTGGATCTTAAAAGAAGGAAACACCTTTCTTGGGGAATCAATGTTCTTGTTGCTTGATTCGTGCAAATTCGGCAATTTTAGGTATAATTTCTATAATTTTCTGAATTTATGGTGATATTTTTTTTATCTTGCGGTTTTCTCCCTTCATAATTTATTGGGGATAGTTGTTCTTTGTGTTGAGAATCATTGTTCTTTGCACTGTGATCTTGCGAACTTTGATCTTGGCACTGTGATCTTGTCGCTTTCCCCACTTTTGATTTTTTTCTTTTTTGTGATTACTGAGAATCATTGTTCTTTGCGCTGTAATCTTGTGCACTTAGATATTTGTTGCATTGTGATCTTGCAATTTTTCCCCTTCTGAACTTTGATACTTGCGTTGTGATCTTGCAATTTTTCCCCTTCTGATTTTTTTCCCCTGATCACTGAGAATCATTGTTCTTTGCATTGTGATTTTGTAAACTTTGATTGATATTTTGAGATTTTGTGATCACTGGGGAACAATGGCATCTTGTTCATTCCCTAGTAGAAACCGATCACTTCAATAATTCAAGTTAACGTGTGGAGTTTCAGTTAATAAACTTTAATGCATCTTCAATCTAATCCAAGTGAGACAAAGAGATGATGAAAGAATTGTATTATATGAAATTAAAGAGACTTCTGCATAGATCTCTTAAGGATTCATATATTCCCTGTTCAAATGGATATGTTGTGACAATTTGGTTCTTGCAGCGTAGCTCTGTCAAAAATTATGGAGTGAGTAAAAGAAATTAATGCATGAACAATACTCAATCAGAAAACATGATCTTCAATTTTTGGCACGAGGTGCATTTTACACTCTATAATTGAGGGTTATGATTTGAAAAAAAAAATCGAGAACTTGACTGTTGATCCAAGTTTATAACATGTAGAAACAAGGAAATATTGCATCTTTAGGTCTTTAAGGTCATTCTAAATTTTGAATATCTGCATGATCGATTACATTTTCATGTCCTGCGTGTTGTTATGATGAATTAGTTTTTTTTATAGGTTTCGTATGAATTTTCTGTTAATTTAGGTCCGTAGATCATACGAGTTATGAACAATCATATTATTTACAGGTTTAGTATGGTTTTTGATGTCATACAAGTATTTATGATGAATCGGGTTGTTTACATGTTTTATATATTATTTTAGTACTTTTATATGGATTTACTATATTGTTTGGTTACATTCTATGAGCTTTCTTTTAGTTATATTACCACCTATAACGATCACAAAAAAATTGTCTTTAGTGTGAGGTAATCTTACTATGCTGACTATATTCATGTTTTTATACAAGCTTTAAAACTAACCAAACACCAGAGAAGTGAGAAAAATCTTATCAGCCATTTGTTTTCTCATTTGTTAAATGCCAACCAAATAAAGAAAAGTGTGTAATTTCTCATCATGTTTTATGTATGAACCAAACATTAACAACCAATTCTATGAAAAACTTAGTAAAACTCAAAAAATGAGTTCTTCCCATGGAATGAGGTTTCCAACAAAATGGAAAACAAACCAAACAGCCCCGAATAAGCTTTAGCTGTTTCCTAATTCTACCCAAGAAGTACCCCTTTCTCTGTTTGTCATCTTGTCCATGCTTGATCCCTTGAATTTTGGATCCAAAACGAAATACCCAGATTCACTAATAGTGTTTCTGAGTTAAGCCAAATCACGCAGAGTTGAACAAATCATGTATAGGATTCGTCCAAAGCGTAGGGATTTTAGAGAGCAAGAAAAATTAGAGCAGTAACTTTTGTTCTTTTCAGGAGGCACTCTCACTGAAATAGACGCTAATCAGGAGACATCAAAACAAATGGAGGAAAAAAAACATTAATTAAAAAAAAAACCAATATGTGATTTAAGTTGCAATAAAATGATACATTATTTGAAAGCTCAACACTAGCAAAAGAAACCAGTCCAAGGGCAGTAACCCTAATTATGCGGAGCCTCTGATCCCCCAAAATACTGAAACCTGAAATCAATCTTGGCAGGTAACATCAAAGTGGCCATAACCATAGTTCATGTCCTGAAAACGCGCAAGAAAGTTAACATCTTTCTTAAAGAAATTTTGATCCAAAAGCTGATATCAGTGCAATAAAGAAAACAAGAAACTCACCGAAATCATAAGCAGGTGAAAGAATAGATTGTAGGATAATATATCCGGGTTAATAGATCCCCTGTAATATTGTTGTTTCAAACTTACTACCCCTATGGTTTCATTGTTGCAGAAAAAACCAAGGGTAAAATATTTTTGACTCTTTTACCCTCAGATACTCACTAATCTCGCCCAAGCGCAATATCTGCCAAAATTCAGAAAAAGTAAAAGGGCCAAAAGAGAAACCCAGGGGATCTATCTGCAACAATGAAACAACAAGGATAGTAAGGGCAAAACAATCATACTACAGGGGGTTTATGTGCAGTTAACTCTACATACCCAGGTCGCATTAGCCATAATTCTATGTCGGGTAAAAAGACTTGAAAGAATCTCATCAGAAGTCACTAGGGGTGATTTCTCCTATGATTTATTCCAATCAGTTTTTTTTAATTGGTTCTACTCTTTTTTGCTTTTTCAGAAGCAAAGCCTATAAAAATGATTTATAACATCCAACTCTTTCTCTACATCTCTAAAGTAATGACACCTCTATGTTTACTCAGTACAACTTCCTACAGACTAGAGTTGTATCCACACTACTTCTTTGTACATTCACTTAAACCCACTCTTATCAAGAGTCGTACCTCTCTATTCAGCATGTGCAACAAAGTAAAAGTTTTTCCTCAAAGCAAAGTCACTGAGGATTGATAGCAAAAGAGAAATAGATATACGTGGCATTCCACATTAGCTTTTCTTCTCCTTTTAATTGGCAAAATGCATGTTGCATCATTTTAATATATATCTCAATTATCAAATTGCCCCCACTCGAATTGCCCTTTCTCAAGGTGTTTCCATTATATAACAGTAAATATGGGATGGCTGAGGGCTCAAGCAAGAGCCCCTATCCTTTCTCCAAAAGGAAATAATAATAATAATAATAGTAAAGAAGGGGATAGTTCTGCATTTCCCTATGAGAGTGCATAAAGATAAAATGGATACAAGAAGAAAACAAAAAGGCAACTAATATACCTTTACCAACATGCGGTGCTTAGTTCGTAATTGCATCCTTCCTTTATGGGATTCCAGAGTTGATAAGTTCTGCTTGACCTTAACGGATATAAATTTTCAATTACTACAAGCAAACTAAGACATGGTAACATAATCTTCTAATCATTTTAAACTCATGATAATGAAGCCCTACATCATCAGTCATCATCATCAGTCATCATGACATTATGTGAATCATGTCTCTTTAAGTTAAAAATCTCAGTATCTTTAATCAAATTCAATCATATCTAAGACATAAATGAAGCAAAAAAGAAATAAAAGAAGCGAGGGAGGGAGGGAGGCTCAAATGCCCAAATTGCTCACAATTGGCTTAAACAATCTGAAAACCAACAACTTCTGTCTTCTGACAAGTAGGCATGAGTTGCCAATTGTAATCTAAAAGTAAAGATAACTACTCCAATATATAAACGAATTTAAAGAAAATAGTATGCTATTTACTATATAATTTTTATGGAAAACACTAGTGTTATTTAATATATATTTTTTACGGAAAACAATAGTGTTGATTAAAATAAAGAAAATGGTAGTGCTATTTACTATATAATTTTTATGGAAAACAATAGTGTTATTTAATATATAGCGTTTATAAGATGTGACAGTTATTTAAAATATTCAGCAGTCCCTCTTTAATTTTTAGGCGTTTTCAATTGCTTTTGGATCAAGTTTGCAGAATTATTTATGAAAGAGATCAAAAATATGTAAACAGAGTTATAAGACTTTCAGATATATTGACTCAAATTTTCATGTGCATGGAGAAAGAAGTAATAGATCTAACTTTCAAAAATTTTATTGTCATTGTATTTTATGCTATACTGATTTCGAAGGTCTAACATTCTTGAACTCCCTCTAACCAGAATCCTAGATTTAATCCAACATAGTGGGTCAATATGATTCAGTAACTTAAACTCTACTAGATTTTTCTAGCTTCATCAGGAAGATATACTTATGTCTAACACTTGCAGCTGGCTGCGTTTTGAAAGTATAGAAATTTAAAATTTTGAAAGCATAATTAAAATCTATCATTGTTAGAAATATAACTAAATTTTGTCTATGATGAAAATGAATAGATAATGGGCACAATAAAAATGGATAAAGAAAGAGTATTAATCACGGAGTATCCAAGAGAGTAAGTTGAAAAGTAATAACATTTAATGCTTAGAACACTTCAAATTTTAGCCGACTCTTTTGTATGGATTAACGCTTTGAAAGTGTTTAAATTTAAAGGATAAGAGCATTTGTTTAAGGAGCGCCAACATAGTAACAGTGGCTTCCTTTAAACACAATATTGTAAAATACTTTAGAGATCCTTTTGCTCATTGCTCACCCAACAATTGGATTGAATGAGAATTGGAACAAAATAGCAAAACAAAAGTTTGATCCTAGAAGATGCTTGAATATAAGAAACATACCTTTTCCTCAATAACTGCATTCTCTATTTTCCCTACTTCGCAGCCAAAAATATCATGAAGCACTTTATTATCCTGAAAGGCGGGAGGAATAAGCTTAAAATAAACAAATAAAATCAAGAAATAATGAATATGAGCGCTTTTGCAATACACCAAATATGCATAGTTGAATTTAAAATAAGTAAATATTAAGGACAAAATGACCAAACCCCCTTAAAGGTATTGGTGAACTCTCACCTTCCACCCTAATGT